TTATTATTTATGTTTAGTTTTATTTTATATAATATGTATATATAATTTATTATTAAAATTATAATGAATTTTATAAATCTAATATATTATTAATATTAGGTATATTTTATTATATTTTTTATGTTATTATTTTTGATGTAAATATTTTTATGACTTTTTTATTATTATTTTTTTATATATATGTATATAGCAACCATAGCCGACTAAATTTATATTAACAAATAGACTTGCAAACAAATCAAAAAATCTACATACTCAAACTAACCTGTGGCGTAAACACACACAAGAGCCTGCATTGAGGGTACATGCGTGGTGTCATTGTTGGTAGAAAAAAATACCATATTTTTGTAAGTATAATTAATACTTTTTAATAAATTGTATGAAAAAAAGCATTTAACAACAATAAACACACAAAATGATGATATTTTAGATTTTATAATGGCATGTTTATGACAGCAAAAATTTGGCGACGTCGTATTTGTACCATGATAGTGATTAGTAATGGGCGTTCCGGGTCACTCTTTTGAACCGGATCACTAGATCTGGATCACATAAGTGAACCGGTTCAACGAACCGGTTCAAAAGAACCGTTTGAATCTCAGACTAATTAAAAATAACACTTAATGAAATCATTCGGAGCACATAAACTTTAAGTTTATGTTTAATACTTAAGAGCCTTTATTAAATTATAAGGCAATACAAATTGTTATTTTAATAATATTATAAAGGCTATTAAATATTACATTGTATTTTATTAAAGTTTTGTTATACCATACTATTTATTTTATTAAAATTTTATAAAACAATAAAAACTCTATTATTTTAATATTTTACATTACATTACAAGTTATATTTAAAACATAAATGTTGTAAGTTTACACAATTTAAATTAATTAATATTAAAAATATATTTTAAACGACATTGTCATAAGGGAAATCATCTCATATTTCTGTGGGTTTGTAAAAAATTACCAAAAGTATAAATTTGCCTAACGTAGTAACGCGCCACAGAACGCAAGAAGTTCGGTTCCGATCGATGCGACCGGCATAAGCACTAGCGACCTGCATGATACAACAGTCATGATCGAGCCGCGCCTAGAGAATCTAGATGTTTTGGTCAGATCTGGATCACAGAAAACAAAACGTACTGCGAGCACGAGTTGTTCTTAGCTCCAGGGAGCCGGTTCAGATCTCTCGCGACCCGCCGCGGCGCTCACGGCTCGCCATGCGCGGCCTGTTCAATGCACTGCAGCAGCATAGCGAGTGGTGAAGCAGTGAATCGGAGCTTAGAACGGCTTGCGCGCGGCCGCTTTGTAATTTCGGACCCGTGAGCCGGTTCGTTTAATTTTCGTGAACCGGTTCACGTAGATCACTTATAAGACCCGGTTCACTGAGCCGGTTCAGATCTGACCGACACATCTCTAATAGTGATACACATACTAATATTTGAGGGTTTTTATAATTTACAATTTTGTTTGTTTTCTGTTGTATACCAATTGTTTTGGTATTGTTTTTTTCCATTGTGTTTGCGAAATTTTTAGTGGGTTTTATATAATATGTAAATGATTTAGAAAAATTTGATATAACCTAAATTTTATTTAGTTGACAATTCGTATCATACGTGGACATATTACTATGTCTATGGTATCGTGTATTTTAAATCTCCCACTTATGAACTGACTATGCGCATAAGGTAAACTGATACGACAAATCGACAAATTTCCCCTAAAAAAGGGAAACAAGGTCATCTATACAAAATATAGCGAATAAGCTTCATATGTGTAGAAGTATGTGTTTTCAAAAGTTCAAGTGTCAATAAATCATAAATAAAATGATTATGAGGCTCGCCCAAAAAATTTTGTGTGCACCACTGTCAAAAAGTGTTATTTTGTTCTTGTATTCTTTCTGACCTATTAAAATCAGACTCGTCTAAAAAAAGTCACTTTTTGGCTTTGGTACAAATAACTATTTAAATATTAACTATTATTAGGGTTGCAACTTTTCATGAAAAGTTAAAATTTTTGAAAAGTTGGGTTTTATTTTTCGCAAAAGTTTGGAAAAGTTGGAAAAGATGGAAAAGTTGAGTTTTTTGTAATTTAAACTTATAAAACATAAATAATGATTGTCAATGTATTAAAATATTTTATTTCTTATGTATTTATACATACGTAACAAGATGTTTTATAACAAAATAACAAAAAATAAAATAACAAACAAAATAAAATGAACAGACAACATAATCACAACAAAAATAAACTAGGTTTGAGTTAAAAAAATCATATTTTTTAAGTAAAAAAGAATATAAATTTATACAAACCATAAAAAACACATACGAAATAAAAAATAATTACAAAAAAATATGAAGCAAAAATTATTAAATTTATTGTTGTTAAAAATTATGTAAATTTACAAGTAAAAATTTAAAAAGAAAATAGTATATTCTGTAACAGGTTTGGAATACAGCATATTCCGCTCGAGTGAAGAGTTTGTCACACGAGCCGAAGGCGAGTTTGACGGTTTCACGAGAGCGGAATATGCAATTCCAAACGTGTTTCAGACTATACTTTTTCTACGTTTCCAAAAAATACCATAGAAACATAATTTAATTGGAAGAAAGTGAGGTTGGATCGGTCTAAAATTTGTTAGATATTAAAAACAGAGATGTCGCCATGAGTGTTTATTCTGTCATCAGATGATAGAATATTTCATTCTGTAACACTTTACGGAATATATGCCATTCCATAGATAAAAGTGATATTAGAAGGGTCAAATTCCGTAATAGGAGTAGAAAAACAATCTTTATATAATAGAAAATGCTGTTAGCAGACACCATTTTTGATAAAGTTTGACAGAATGTTATTCCAAAAAACAAAGAATTTAGCACGTTTTACTAAAAACTCTTCAAATCTAGCGATTTATATTTTGACCAAATTATCTATAAAAAAAAAATTTATGGTAGTGGAAACACTGGTTACAAGTGAACTCATTGTTCATCGGCTCCTACCTAATAACTTTTCCAACTTTTCATAGGGGGTGCCGAACTTTTCCAACTTTTCGACCGAACTTTTCCTTGTTTGCAACACTAACTATTATAATATAAATATTATATTAGAAAACATTTTAAATAATAACACTTTTATTATACCAAGGGTAAAGACCCTTCATTGGTTGAAGGGCATCAAATCAGAGGTGTATGCGCCAAAATGAAAAAAATACATAAAAAGATAAAAACGATTTTCCATTTTTGTAATATTTTCAGACACGAGTTACTTAGCCCTTAGGTGCCGCTATTTAATACATATTTTATTTTTATTGAATCTTGATCAAATCTTCGTTCTTATTACAAAGAGACCTAACTAGCATTTTACTAACTTTTAAAAAGGAGCAGAAAAACAAAAATGAGCGTAATTTATACCGACGTAAATTACGTCACGTAATATATACAATTTTACTTTACTGTGTTGTCTGTACTATAAAAGATACAGATAGGCCACTTGGTACCATGAGGTAATATAATGTATCAAGTTTGATAAACGCCCTTTTAGTCATGAATTTAATTTAGGCATGAGCGAGTGCTTAATTATATGAGTGCATAGAAAAGTTTATAAAAGAGTTGCACATAATACTTTTATCTACGCCAGTGAGATAAGAACTTCTTATCCCACTCATTTTGAGTGAGATAAGAAGTTCATTAACGCACGAGTTTTTCTCTGTTTTTAACTAATCAAATAAAAAAGTCAAAATGTCAAAATAACCCTAAATTAAGTCTTAGACAAAAATAATTACCGTTTATTTTTTCATTTAGAGGCGTAGATAAAAATTTGTACAATATACGTGTGATAACGTTTTATTAACGTACTTTTGCGATTGCCCAACTCGTGCTACGCACTCGTTGGGGAAATTTCGCATGCGTACGTTAATAAAGCTCTTATCCCACTTATATCGTAAATAACTATTTCCACAACAAATACTAATATTCTATATGTAAATAAAATAACCAACCCAATAAACATTTTTGGCGTAACTTTCACCATTAACATTGCCTGTTATTTATTATTTTAATTAAACTTAACAATTATTGATACTTTAAAATATGATTGTGTTAAAATATTTTATCCTTTGATTTTTTTATTACTATAATTGCAAAATATTATCACAAAGTATTAAAAATTCTTACACGGAAAATATTAAAGGCACAAAAAGTGACAGTTGTATTTATTGGAATTCCCATTAGAATTTCTAACCTAAAAATCTACCGGCGTTAAAATCTCAAACTTTTTTGTGTAAATCAAAATTTATCCCTTGAAAATAGACTAAAAATCTTACACGGGAAATATTAAAGGCACAAACAGTGTTGTATTTATTGGAATTCCCATTAGAATTTCTAACCTGGAAATCTACCAGCGTTAAAATCTCAAACTTTTCTGTATCTATCCCTTGAAAATAGACTAACAATCGATATAGAAGCAGTTTTTCACAGTAAAAGAGAAGAAAATGTTTTATGGGCAATGTACGCAACATTTTTGACGCTTTATCAGTTAAATCCAGTTAACTGCACTACTACGACGAAATCAAAAGGTCAGTTCAAACGATCATATAATCTTTTCAAATGGAGTCAAGAAACTACTCAATACTCTTTGTATTAAGATAATAAAATAATTTTCACATTTAGTATTATTTTACAAGGCAATTTATTTTAACGATTGGATGACATTTGACAACTGTCAACTAACTTAAAACTAACTTCAGCCCGTGATTGAAATAACGTTTATAAAACCTGATAATGCATATACTATTATATTAGTAATTTAATTTAATTTTTTTATAAGGATGTTATAAAAATAAAATATGTATTTTTTAATTTGTATAAAGATTTCCAATAGCAGTATAGCAATATAAATGAGGGGGTTTCATAAGGATGTACCATTATTTTTATCCTTCATTTTTATCTTATGTTCATGTATTTACTACTAAAAAATGAGTTTAAAAACAGTACTTACCTCGCATTTGGCTCCACCCCAAGAGTCCGAACATTTGCAAATCGGCTTGCCGGCAATCATCTTACAAACCCCGTTGTTTTTGCACGAGCACCTCGCGTTGCATCCGGCAGGCGGGTTCGCTTGCTGGCACAAATCCACTTCGCACCTCCTTCCCGCAAAGAATTGCGGACAAATGCACTCGGTCGATTGCTTCGCGCCAACTCGGCAAGTTCCGCCGTTCGCGCACCGCTGATAGCAGAGATCCTGTTCGCACTTCTCGCCTGCGTAGCCTTGCAAGCAGGTGCAGCGCACGTTGTTCGGCGTGACGATGGCTTTGCCGTACTTTCCGCACACCGAGATCTCGCAGAAATCGCCGCGGTAGCCCGTCGGGCACGTGCAGTACTCCCTGTTGTTTTCCTTCGTGCACACGCCTCCGTTCGCGCACGACAATTTTTGACAGTTCTGGCAGCGGTTGCCGGTGAAACCTGCGCGGCAATGGCACACCGGGAAGCCCGGTTTCGGGTTGTAACAGGTGCCGCCGTTGTAGCAACGATTTTCGCACAGATTTACCGGGGTTTCGCATCGATCGCCGGTCCAGTGGGCGTTGCATTTGCACACCAGATCGTTTGTTAGGACGTTTACGAAGCACATTCCGTGATTCTTGCAGTATTGCGCGCAGCGGTAGTTTTCGCAATGCGTGCCGTTGTATTGCGGCGGGCAGTTACACGAAGGGCCTTTTCCTTCGATTATTATGCAAGATCCTGTGCCGCACTCGAGTGGACAAGCTGATAACAAACCGGACTTTGGTTTGCAAGCCTACAATAAATGGATCATAGGTTTATTTTATAATATTTTAGTTTAAATAAAAAGAATATAAATACTTTAACAAAAGTTTGCTTTTGTGACTTAAAAAAATACAAGGGGATTTTTCTTAAAATTAAAAAAAAATAAAGCAATTAGTGAATACTAGATTGCAATAAAGAATGTTGTGATCTAATTGAATGGATGGAAGAAACAAATTTTAAAAATGATGGGAGGATTTAATTTTAAAGATTTCAAGGATCTAGTTATCGGAATATTTTAGTATAAAGTTTAAAATTGCAATATTTTGTGATAAAGGCTTTTATAGTCACGGCCAAATCTGTATGGGTGCACGTCATCAACGGCATATGACGTCAGCGTTAAGGTCTATTCATACGTGCCCAGACACAATCTAACGCTCGTGTATTGTTGACTGTTTATAGCGGTGGGGTCTGTTATTAAGATGGAATTATAACGTCCTTGTTATAATCTTCTGCACTAACTAATTAGGAGTTTGTTACAGGCAAATTTTTATTAAATGTGTTTAAAGAGAAAACAAACGGAGTTTATTACATTTTTATTACATATGCAGATAACAAAAAAATTCTAAATTATCAGAAGCACAAAATATATAAATTACCAGTCGTCCTTGTCATCAGAGCAAACCAGGTCAGAATTGAAGTCTGATTATTTCCCCAAATTTATTATTAAGGGCGCAATGTCTTCGAAATCTAATAACGGCTAGTTGCCAACAAGCCTTATATCATTGTTTGCACAATCCAGGGATAGAATCTTATAAACATAATGTATAATATTATTTATAATAATTTGCAACAAACGATGCTTCCGGACGAAATGTCACAATTACAAAAATACGTCAAATATAAAATGACAGCGACCCATCAATAATATTGAACGGTGCGCGCCAGCCTTAAGCTATTACCAACTGGCACACACAAAAATTACTAAGTGAATGGTTTTATTTTGATAATTTCGTGAAAAAACGTTTTAAAACAAGGAAATTGTTACAGTTCTTGGTAAACAAAACGCAAATGAATGATTTCTTTTTAATAACACATCAGAATTACGCCTTAAAAAAGCAAATTTAACGGCAGTAACTTTACAATTCAAAGTTGGTAATGCTGACGTCATTATATCTCATTGATGACGTGCACCTATATAGATTTGGCCGTGACTATATCTCCTATTAGGAATTCACCCACATATATAGATTTAATAAATCTTTTTTTTATATTAAAAAAAAACGATTAAAAAAAACCGTTTTTATCAAATAACAGTGCAATATTTTTACAACAAACCTTATTGAATAAAGTATATTCTGTCAATAATTAACATAGATATCTTAGAAAATTGAGTCCCTTAAGGAATATGAGTAAATGGATTTTGAAACTAGATCCAATTTGAAATTTTAAAAAAGGGTATTTCACGGTAAAAGTTAAATTTTGTTTGCCACAGGATGGTCAATAACTTTTTTAGGGTAATTTGGGTGCTCCGATTCCAAAAATGAAAATCAACTTACTCAATTAGGTCTTGTTTTTGCGATATTGTGGAAGAACATTTTTTTCAACATGCAAAAATTAAAATTCGTATATACCTACATATATTTTGTTTTAAATATAATAAAGCTTTGGGTCCAAATTAAACTAAAAAAATTACACATTCATAGTTTTATCTTTAAAAATCATAAAAAAATTACATTTTATTCATGCAAGAACTTTTTGTATAAATTTTTTAAATTTTTTTATACAGTGTCATTGTATTTTTTTATTTAAAACTTGTATAAATACATATTTCAATGCATTACTGCTCACAGAATTTATTTAAGGAGTCGTACAAGCACCAGGAGCAAAAATTAGCGTAAATATAAATTGTGGTTGTTTTTAGTGTCATTTTGCCAATTTTTATTTAATTGCTTTGAAATTATAACACAATAAAGAAGATTGATGAAGCTACAAAATTTTGTAAACTTTATTAAAATCGGACAAAAAAAATCATTTTTCAGCACTTTGAATTTTAAAAATTTTGGCTAAAAACGATTTAATTTTTAAGGGGAATAACCGAGGGAATAACTGTATGAATATTTTTTTAGCTTAATTAGTACATTACCAATAATTATTATAATCTTCTGTCAAAATACTTGATTAGCAAAATATATAAACGAATTTTAATCACAGGTCTGTGATTTTAATGTTTTATTGTCGATGAAACCGTTTTTTGCAGAAAAAAATTCTCTTTAAATTAAACTAAAAATGCAAACATAATAAAATACAATAACTACTAGTTTTTTATTCGGAATTGGACGTCAAAAATGTGGGGGTTTAGTTAGCAAATTCTTGGGACCCTAAATTTGAGTAAAACAAAATTATTTAGTGGATTTATGCAGCTCAAATTAATTATTTCATCAAAATGCTGTGTAGTATAAAAAAAAATCGTTTAGAATGTTCCGTTATGTTTGGTATTGTTTATTGTAATTTTAACAATTAAATAATAATTGCAAAGTAAAATTAAAGCATTAAACAGGAGTACCAATTTTAAATATTAAAAATACAAACGCCAAATGTTAAAAAAACGGATTTTTTACGTTTGATCTCCACCCACATCAAAAATAGTTTTAACAGGAATAAGTTACAGCTACAGTACTTACCAAGCCATCTTTGACGTATCCTTCTGCGCAAGTACAAGTGGCCCCCAGTGGAGTCAAAAGGCAAAACTCTGTAGGATGACAAAACTCGTCGCACGTATTATTGATTTTAATATGTTTATTTTCCTGTAGAATTAAAAGATGCGATACTCTGGTAAGTCCTTGTACCAAATGCGTTATATTTCCTTTGCCGAACTTATTCAAACGCAAAATGTCGTGTTTAAGGTAAGTCGAAACGTACAAGTACTCCTCAAATACTTCCAGCTTAAATGGTCTCATATCTTTATTGAAACGGTGTATGATTTGCCTGTCAGTGCCGTCAAACTTAACGCATTCTATGGTCATAGTTTTGGGGTCGCTCCAATACAGTCGACTTTTTGGGTAATCTATCGCCAAACCTGTAGGCCAAAGGATGCCGGAACTAACCAGCATCTTCCTTTTATCTCCGTCCATATGGGCGGTCTCTATTCTGGCGATGGGACCCCAATCGACCCAAAACAGCAAACCTTGCGCTGGCGCCACCACGATGTCTCGCGGTTGCTGCATATTACCTATTGATGTAAACAGAAAGAAAACGTTTTGCTTTTATTTTTTAAAAATTAATTTTTTTTTTTCGGAAACATTGTTTTTTTTAATTATAAGATAAAAGCAGAACAATTTTGAAACTTTTTAAAATAATCGTTATTTATAATAGAGGTTTTTAAATAAAAGCACCAAATAAAAACTTGATTCTAAAATAAACATACATTATAAGAAAAAATCTAAATCTTACATGAGGAGCTACTTTGCAAAACGCAGTTTTTGTAAAATTTAGAGTTTTCAGTATTAAGTGCACTTAGGTGCTTAAAACTGAACTACATCGACTAACAAAACTCGTTCGGATCAAATCGTGATATTTTACGAATTAAAGGGTCTCATGCCGGTTTTACACCAAACCGACTAGTTGAGTTGCTGTTTTAAAAAACAAAAACTCAACTGTTTTTAACGATAAAACTGTTCACACTAAACAGACAAAAATTAGTTGCTGTCGAGTTTTTGTTTTTTGTCGTTTTACATCAGAGAAACAGTTGCAGTTTTGTTTAGTTCTATTCAGAAAGTACATGGTTGTTCATTATTTTATATTATTTATTTAAAAAAATTAACATGGATAGTGACGAGGAACGCTTTTTTTCTCGTTTGCGGTTGGCTGTTGGTACGTGATTTAGAAAAAAAAAGAAAACGTCGTACACGCAGGTATTGGGTGAGATCCTTATTAAATAGAAGGAAATATGATGGTGGTGCAAAGATGTTATATACTTATTCTTTTTTGATAAATAACCTTGCCGCGACTGTCAACATGACAAAAACACAGCTCGCCGCAACTCAAGTTGATAACAGACGTTTACACCAAGCCGACTGAGTTGCAAAAAACGCAGCAACTCTTTGAAGTTACCGACATCGATCGGGAAACGAAAAACACAACAGCAACTGTTGAGTTGCCGAAAAATCTTCAAAAAATCTGCAAAAAGTTGCGGTTTTGTTTTTTTCAACTCGAATTGCTGTTTTGTCGGTTTGGTGTAAAACCGGCATCAAATTCCGGTGTTTGTTTCAAACCGTAATTTTTATTGCTAGGTTGTCCGTTTCAAAACGCAGTTTTTCTAGAAATGACTTTGGCTGTCAAAGTTTGACAGTAAGTAAAAACTCTATTTTTATCCACAAACTAATCTGTGCACGAACTTTTGTGAAAGTTTTATTAATAATTGCATCGAAAATGAATGCAGATGGTGAGCAATCGATTTCGGTAAAACACAACAAGACTGGTTCACGAAAGAAAATTAAGAAACCTCAGAGAAGAGCATTGGAGAAGGAATCTAGGTAATTTTTGCAAATTGAACAATGAACATTGTTGAGCAATAACAATTTTTAGACACGCTAATCATTTTCCCAATTTGGAGGATATGGATACAAGGCCCTGCAACCATGAAAGAGGTCCTACTGGCAAAGAGGCGAAGATTAACTGCAACGCAATCAGCCGTGGTGCTATTATTGACGCTAGAAAAAAGTTATACGCTGAAAGTAATCGTACTATTTAGGACAACAAGATTGGACATTTATTAGTAGTGAAGCATCCTAGGAATAGGTCAGGTTTTAGAAATGTACAAAGTGTTCGTATAAAGTACATTTTTTATGATTTTAACCAAAAAAGACACCTTGTTTGTCAAAAATTTTTTACTGAGGCACTTAACATCACACAAAGGCGTGTTATAATAATTGCTAAAAAAATGATCGCCGGTAATGGTATAAAGGAACGTAGAGGAGGAGATCGTCGGTCAAAAATGTACGATGAAAGAAGAAAAGATGTGCGTGATTTTCTTGGAAATTTGAATGCAACTGAATCGCATTATAACAGAGAAAAATCAAAACGAATCTATTTACCGTCGGATTGCTCCATTTTAAAATTATGGAAAATGTACAATTCTGCTGCTGATCTCAATTTAAAAGTGAAAAAAAATTTTTTTTATGGGATCTTTGGAAAAGATTTTAACATAGGATTTGGTTCGCCAGCTACCGACGTGTGTAGTTATTGCTATCAGCTTAAAAACCAGCTTAAGATGGCAACGAATCCAGCAAAGAAAATGGAAATCATGACCAAATCAAGACTGCATAAATTATCTGCTAAGCAATACCACCTATTAATGAAAAAGAATGATGAAAATACTTTTACATTGTGTTTTGATCTTCAGCAAGTACAAGTTCTTCCCAAAGTCCCGATACAAGAGGCTTTCTATGCAACTCAACTTTCTTTGTATAATTTTTGTGTTACTGATAGGCAAATCTCTGATCCTGTGTTTTACACCTGGTTGAAGACTCAGGCAAATAGAGGCTCAAACGAGATAGGATCGGCAGTATACAATTTTCTTATGAACGCTTACCTACCTCAAGATTGTGAAATTATAAGACTGTTTTGTGATGGGTGTTCTGGACAAAACAAAAATTCGAATGTGGTCAATATTCTGACATACTGGCTTAACAATAAAGCCCCACATCGTATCAAAAAAGTTATCTTGTTTTTCCCAGTAAGGGGTCACTCATTTCTACCTGCGGATCGAGTTTTTGGAAGAATTGAAAAGAAAACGTGGAAAAAAGAAGAAATTTAAAAAAAAGAAGATTATTGGAGCATTTTTTCGGAAATAGGGACAGTGAAAGTTTTGGGAACTGATTGGGATGTTTATGACATAAAACAGCTTAATTCTACTTTCAAAAAACTTGATAATGTTCGTGAATTGAAGAGAATTTTAATACAAAAAACGGATTCTGGAAAAGTTACTTTAAAATTCGAGATCTTCTATAAAAACGACCTAAATGAACCAAAACTCTGCCTTAGACCTGGAAAATCACTTTTCAATTTAAAATTAAATAAAGTTAAACTAGGTAGACCCATTAAAGAGAAGAAAAAAAAGATATTGACAATTTGTTACAAAAATCCTATGGAAGAAACGAAGCTGGCAATAAAGTTAATTGGAGGGAAGTAGGAGATCTAAAATGGTATGCAGATCTAATAGATAACCAAAACAATGTTGCAACCGGGGAAGAAGAAGGGGTCGATGAAGAAAACTTGATCTGCGACTGCAACGAAGTAGACATCCGCCTGAAAATTTAATACCCTTAATATTTTTTAAGTTATATATTGGAATTTTTTTTTAATTAACTAACTTTTTGTTACTAGTTACCTTTTAAATAAAATTAATGTTTATTTTTTGAGCAGGTCGCAATTTATAAGTAAATTCCGTTGCAAACCCCTCAGTATTTTGGGGTGTTCAGTTCAAAATGTAGTTTCTATTTTTTTTTAAAGAGATACAGTAACGGCAAGAAAAAAACAATATTTTGACAACGAACTTGTATGGAATTCTCGCATTTTTCTTTAATTTTTACATTTTTTACAAAAACTCAAATTTCTTAATTAAGTATGTAGCAAAGATTTCTCTACCCTGAAAAAATTACTTTTTTCAAAAACTGCGTTTTGCAGAGTAGCTCCTCACATATCGATGTAGGTACCTAACCTACATTATCAATCATTCAAAATGAATATAATTATAATTATATACAGCGTGACCCATTTGTTTTGCGACTCACCCCTGTAAAATCTTTATTTATTGTGCAATTTTAACCGGATTTGTTTTAAACTATAGATCTTGTTAAAATGTATTTTTGAAGCAAAAAACGCCATATTTTTACAATATACATAGCCTACTATGTTAGTTTTTAAGACCCCTCAAAACGACCCTATACTAGATTTTATTGAAAAATTTTAAGAAAAAAATGCACAATATTAACTACAAAAAATTATTTTGTCAAGTTATCCATTAAAGAAAAACATTGAAATAAAATCAAATTAATAGTAACGTGGTACTATTACTGTAAGTTCAATTTTATTTCAATGTTTTTTTCATGGATAACTTGACAAAATAAATTGTTGTAGTTATTATTGTGCATATTTCTGTGGGTAAAAGGCATAAGGGGATAAGTCAAAAAAAGGAATTTTTCAATAGAGCCTTTAACGTGATCGCATTAATTCAGGAAATATATTTATGTTTAGCGGGTATACGCTTTTGTTAGCATATGAAATGTGGTAACAAAAGGGTAAACCCGTTAACCATAAATATATTTCCTGAATTAATATGAATACGTTTAAGACTCTACTGAAAAATTGCTTTTTTTGACTTATCCCCTTATGCCTTTCACCCACAGATTTTTCTTAAAATTTTTCAATTATATTTAGTATAGGGTCGTTTTGAGGGGTGGTGAATCCAGTGCCGTGCTTAGATTTTGTTTAAAAAAATCGCTAATATGAATTCTTAAAAATTTACTCTTAAAAACTAACATAGCAGTCCTAGGACTTGTATTTTGTAAAAATATGGCGTTTTTTGCTTTAAAAATACAGTTTATCAAGATCTACACTTTAAAACAAATCCGGTTTAAATCGCATTTTTAAATACTAAAAATACTAAACCAAACTGGCATAAGCTACCAACTTAATAAAAAATCACGAAATAAAAAAAAATTAACTGTACCTGACAAAGAACTGTCTGAACCTAAGGTCTGAACTATAATCTAGATGATCTACAACCATGTCAACTTGGCTGCTCCATTCCAAAACACAGTATGTGTAAAAAACAAAATTGTGAGAAAAACGTGTTTTAGTGAATTCTTTTGATATTGCTGCTATGTGTTATGTGTTATGTTTTTCATCAACAAATAGGCCGGGTTAGAAGGTGTCTTAACACAGTATATGCAAAAATATAAAAAAAACATGTTCTGAAAAAATGTTGGATACTGTGTTTTGGAATGGAGCAGCCGAACTGTAGCTGTGGGATCTTTGTTAGGTAGTTTTTTATAATTTGAAAAAAAAACAATGTTTATTTTTTTTCAGAAAAAAAAACGTTTTTTAAACGTTTTTTTCAAATTTGGAAAATACGTTTTTTTACATTACCACTTAGAAGGGTGTACGTAGTTTTCCCGTCCAGAGTCGAGACCAATATGCGGTTTTTATCGGTGACGTAAATTCTCTTGGCCACCCAATCCAAACTTATACCTCTGGGATCTTGAAGCTTCTGCAGAACCGTTTTCGGAACATCCGCATCCCTATTCGACCTACCGTCCGTATCCACGCGGATTATTAGCGACTGAACCCTGCCGTTGTGGTGATCGGTCCAGAACGCTTCGGCCTGCCGTTTACCGTACAAAATGTCCACCGCGTCGACTTTAAACTCCGTCGCCAAAGTTTTCTTGAACACGCTCGGATCTCCCGACTTGTACGGCGACATCAACCTCAAGTCGGCCTCGACGGCCACGACCAGCTCCGCGACGTCCCCTTCCGCGGAACACGTGTGGTTTTTGGAGTGCACGTAACCCTGCGCGCACTTGCACAGCACCCCGTGCTTCTTGCTTTCCACGCAGATCTGCGAGCAGGAGTTCCACTGGCAGGTCGAATCGTCGCAGTTCGATTCGTCGGAGTCGTCGCCGCAGTTGTTGAAACCGTCGCAAACGAACCGCTTGTCGATGCAGTTGCCGTTCTTGCACGTGAACTGCTTGGCGGTGCACAGCCCGTGGCGCGTGCAGATGTACTTGTCTTCGTCGCTGTTGTCGCTGCAGTGGGAGTAGCCGTCGCACAATGCGGATATCGGGACGCATTTGTGGTTTTTGCAGCGGAATCTGCCCATCGGGCACGCGAACGAGAAGCAGTTTTGCTCGTCCGAGCCGTCGTCGCAGTCGTTTTGACCGTCGCAGCGCCATTCTTCGTTGATGCAGAGGCCGTTTTGGCATTTGAAGCCTTTGTTCGGGCATATTTCACTGCAGTTTGCTTCGTCCGAACCGTCAGAACAATCGGCTTCTCCATCGCAACGCCACTCTCTATAAAAGAAAACAATGTTAATATTGGTTAAACAGCTTTAAATGTGGTTAATCAAGTACCGTAAATACGGGTGACTTTGCACCCCGCGGGTGACTTTAACCCATTTATGAAAAATCTTTTCGCGCTCGATAAAATAAACATTTATAATTTGTTGGTCTAAACCTGTCAATTGAGCGATTCTATTGAGTTTATATTACAGGAAAATCAGTGTTTTAAAGAAAGAAATGGGATTTATTACACTTTAAAATTGTATATATCGTATCAGTGCAAAACTCTTAGAAATACACGCGTTACAATTTCTATATTATGCGCAATCCATTGGAATGATGATCCTTGGTTAACTACAGGTCGATTTTTTATTTTTTTTATTGGTAATCCCTTGCAATAGATATATGTCGCTGGTAACACGTGTCTAATAAAAATATAATATAATATTACATTCATTTTATACTGTAAAAACACTGTGAGACAAAGTAACCCGCAACCAGGGAGTAACTTTGCACACCCAGTTTTTAATGTTTATTTTTGAAACTCAGCCCTATGTAATATTATAACATAGTTATTATGAAAGAGCAACTCAAGACTCAAATTTTGGTATACAAAATTTAATGTTTATGATTGTTAAAACCACAAAAATTTTAAGCTGAAGTTTGAAAGTGAGCCAAAGCCACCCGTGTTTACGGTACACAGTTTTAAAAAAATATCCGTTTACTGAATTGACGATGCTATAGGGTCAGTTTATGTCAACTCAGCACACCCATTTTACCACACCACCTCAGATTTTCTTAAAGTTTGGTATACTTATACTATGTACTAAGACTAAGAAAAATACCAATTTTAAAATTTTTATCTCACACCGTTTCCGATATGTAAAGTTTTCAAAAACTCGCGAAAAAGATTGAACGTTTATTTTTTAAATTGCTCTGAAAGCTGTCCTAATTCAGCTAGAAAGCTGAGAGAGGTGTCATTTTGCAGCATTTTAAATGCTCTTTGAAATGACAAATGACAAGGGTATTAATGAAAAGATTTTGTTCAAAATCCATAAATGTATTTTGATTCCATTTTTTTTTCAAAAAGTACATAATTTAAAATTCTTCAGTTCGTTGGATTGTTGGTTGCTTTCTTATTGGGAACTGATGGCGACTGGGTAATTTGCGAAGTTTGCGTTTGGAATGTATTCTATTATTATTATTTTATGCTATTGGCACGCGTTGATTGTGTAGGTAATCCAGGTAAGATTATCGTTGTGACCTATCCTCACTCGCATCCTTTTACGCCGGTAGCGCACTATGGGACTTAAACCGGGGCCAACACTAACTTTTCACTCTTATCTTATTTTATTATTTATTTATTTTTAGTTTATTTGCTCTTGTATCCGGTAAATTATCAGTGTATTACTTAAGATTCGTTATTTTGGACTTGAGACTTTATCATTTTCACTGTTGTGGTACGGACGCGTTAAACGAGCGTTGACACAACCTCGAGGTGCCGAACGAGACTGACAATGTACAAATGAGCCATATTAAACAAAAATTTAAAACAAAATAATCTGAAATCTGTTATTTACCATTTACAATTAATTTGCAATTTACGTAGCATTTGTAGATATTAGTTATTTTTTATGTAGGTTTTAAGTGTTTTATTTTATTTTGAGAGAAAAAAAAAACGAACAAAATAAAACCACTTTTAACATTTACTTATAAATATCTATTATCTACGAAAGCTACGTAAATTGTCAATAATGACAGATAACAGATGTCATCATATTTTGCTTGGATCCTACACAAGGAGTCCAAACTTTATGCATAAAAATATCTTCCTAAAATAAGATGGCGCTGGTGTTTAATTTGTACCGAAACGCTACCAAAACAGCAGACGTCAGTACGCATGTCAGCTCCGCTGGTGGTAAAAAAAGAAGAACTAATTTGTGCAATTTAGTGGGCAGGTTTTGTCAATTTCCCCTATTAAGTTCCTCCTTGTATAGGCTCCTTGATATTTTGTTTTCATACGGCTCATTTTTAACAAATGCCTTGGCTAATTTTTTACATCTGTTATAGATTATTTTTGACACATGTCACCTATTATTTTTGAAAATTATTGAAATTTTTTCTTAGCTCCCAGGCTGAAATTTTTTTTTGGAAGTAGTGATATACCACACATGAAAATTTGATTCTTTTTAGCAAATGCAACGATCATGCAAAAAAAATAGAAGACACACGAATTCTTATTTCATTTTTGAAATCACCTTAAAAAGTTACCAATGAAAACTTAAATAACCTTTACAGGTTAGTATTTATTTAAGGAATTAAAAAAATGGCCCATCCTGTGAAAAATTAAAAGATTACATTAATTAATTTCCTTTTAATTAATTATCCTGGAACCTTCAAAACCAAGATTTGTTTAATCCTAGCGTATATATATATATATATATATATATATATATATATATATATATATATATATATATATATATATATATATATATATATATATATATATGTAAATCGACGTGTTCCGGGACACTGTAATACAGTGTATACATCCAGTGTACATTGGTATACATGGGTATACAATGGAGAATTTAATCATTTTCTTCCACTTCTTTTTATTTGTATACAATATTTTTTGACTTATAAAAGAAAAACAGTTCCAGGACATATACATAGATATATAGACGTGTTCCAGTACATATTAATTTATATAAATTCATGAACCTAATATACATTGTAAATTGGTATACATAGGTTTTACATAATGTATTTAATTATCTGCGCCAACTTTTTTTTACATGTATACAATTTATTTCGATTTATAAAAGAAAACATGTTCCAGGACATATACATAGATATGTATATGTGTTCCAGGACATCTGGGGGTGGTTTTAGATATACTATATCTAATCTAAAATTGATTATGGATTTAATATGATATGAATTTTAATTGTCTACCCTACCAACAATGACGATATCGTTTGTGTCGTCAATTTATTTTAATTATTATTATTATTTTAGATGTCGGATGATGAGTCAATTTTTCGTCAATTCGTCAATATTTTCGTTATCCGTTTCGTCATTGTTGGTAGGGTAGGTCAAGTAAACACATTTTAAAAGGACTTTTTCCTAGTTATTATTTTAGGCCTAGGATAACTTTAGATTAGGAAGTGATTTATTTTGTATACTTTGATACTATTGCTCTTAATTTATGCGATTAACAGGTTGTTATACAAACATTTAAAAATACAATATTGTATCCAAATTAATAATTACATAATCCGGATTTTGTAAAAGTCTTTTAAAAACACAGCCTGTGTGTGTTAACAAAGGCAATCCACAAACGGTAGTGTATGTTAGGTTGCATAGGCGTTTCAGGACATTTCCTGAAGGGGTTGGGTTGGGTTTGGATTTTTTTGCACTTTTGGGCGTTTTAGGACATTTCCTAAAGGGGTTGAGTTGGGTTGGGTTTGGTTTTTCAAGACATTTTCTAAAGGGGTTGGGTTGGGTTTGGTTTTTCAAGACATTTTCTAAAGGGGTTGGGTTGGGTTTGATTTTTTTGCATTTTTAGGCGTTTCAGGGGGTTTTTTGCATTTTTACGCATTTTAGGACATTTCCTGAAGGGGTTAGGTTGGCTTGGGTTTTGATTTTTTTTGCATTTTTATGCGCTTCAGGACATTTCCTAAAGGGTTGGGTTAGCTTGGGTTTAGAATTTTTTACATTTTTACGCATTTTAGGACATTTTCTGAAGGGGTTAGGTTGGCTTGGGTTTTGATTTTTAGAACATTTCCTGAAGGAGTTAGGTTGGCTTGGGTTTGGGTTTTCACATTTCCTGAAGGGGTTGGGTTGGGTTTGGATTGTTTTGCATTTTTAGGCGTTTCAGAACATTTTCTGAAGGAGTTAGGTTGGGTCGCAATTTGTTGCATTTTTTGGCATTTCATGTCGTACCCGAAACGCGTTGGGTTGAGTTGGGTCATATTTTTTTGAAACTTTATACCCTCTTTTTATTTGCTTATCGGATAGTACTTTTGGGGAGGTACAAAAAGTTTTATATGCACTTACCTCCTACAATTTTCCCCGGACTGGGAAATTGACTTTAAAAAATTAAAATACTTGGAAATTTTTTGAATAAAAATAAATTTGCAGGAATACCTTTTTTTATTTGCTCATCGGATAATACTTTTGGCGAGGAACAAAAAGTTTCATACGCACTTACCTCCTACAATTTTCCCCGGACTGGGAAATTTACTTTGAAAAACTAAAATACTTAAAAAAAATTTAAATAAAAATAATTTTGCAGAGATACCCTCTTTTTTTATTTGCTCATCGGATAGTACTTTTGGCGAGGAACAAAAAGTTTTATTTGGACTTACCCCCTACAATTTTCCTCGGACTGGGAAATTCACTTTGAAAAATTAAAATACTTGGAAATTTTTTGAATAAAAATAAATTTGCAGGAATACCCTCTTTTTTTATTTGCTCATCGGATAGTACTTTTGACAAGGAACAAAAAGTTTTATATCGACTTACCCCCAACTATTTTCCCCGGACTGGGAAATTGACATTAAAAAATTAAAATACTTTAAAATTTTTTAAATAAAACTAATTGTGCAGGGATACCCTCTTTTTTTATTTGCTTCTCAGATAGTACTTTTGGCCAGGAACAAAAAGTTTTATATGGAATTACCCTTTACAATTTTCCCCGGACTGGGAAACTGACTTTGAAAAACTAAAATACTTGAAAAAATTTTTAATATAATTTTGCAGGGATATCCTTTGTAATTTGCTTATCAGATAGTATGTTCGGTGAGGAATAAAAAGTTTCATATGGACTTACCCCCTACAATTTTCCCCGGACTGGGAAGTTGACTTTGGGTCTGGACTGGAAATGGGTTGGGTTGGGTTGAGTTTGGTTTTTAAGGACATTTCCTGAAGGGGTCGGGTTGGCTTGGGTTTTGATTTTCAGGACATTTCCTGAAAGGGTTAGGTTGGGTTGGGTTTTGAAAAAG